ATGGCAACATATTCTTCCCAAAAGTGTAAGGGACTTTACACAACATTCAGTTGCTCTGAAGAAAAAGGCCAGATGAATCACAGGTGTATTTCAACATACCAGGGTATTGTAATAGGCTACTTTCCACCCTTCTCAAAGGAAGGCACCATACAATGTAATGCATATGCCCTGGTATGTATCCCTCCCCTCGGCCTTGGTGGGTTGATGAAGGCTGGAAAGTTGAAGTTATGAGGATTTAATTGTCTGTTTTTATTTTGAAGATTTACCTTATTAACTGGGAAGAACTTGGAGTAAGTTTTAAGTTCTAGTTAATAAAGGAGGCATTCAACATTTCTCAAAGTTACAGATACGAAAGAAGAAAATAAATAAGAACTTTAACCAAGATCCTATGACATATTACTGAAATACAAGGGGGAAATATCAGTCATTTTACTAGGAAAAGGGAAAATGAACTACATTTGGATTATACTTAAAGATGAACTAGAATTCTCTTCCTGATTTCCTGGAGTAATAATATTTAATTTAACTTTTTTCTTTTTTTTTACAGGAACTCTCTAATTTTGAGAATGCAAAATCAAAAAGAAAGTAAGTCAAATTTACTTTAAAAACTTTAAGTTCTCCTAATTCTGTAATGCTAAATGGAATATTTTAGTGGGTTTCTTGTCAAAGTTTTAAAAAATTGTTATGTACATATCTAGATGTTTTATTCTGCCACCATTTGTCTGTTTATTGATGTATAGGAAACCTGTGTTGTGACATTCCTGTAGACAGGGATGTGAAAATTAAATTTTCAGAAGAAGAAACACGTATTTAAACTATGCTCAGATTAAAGTGGGAGCCTACTTGAAAACATGCTTCTATTGGTGACCTATTAATCTTCTGAAGAGTTTTTCTAATCCAAATAAAATGTGTTTGCGAAGAGATTTGGGTTATTTAGGTCAGGGTTGGCTTTACATTCAGCACATCAGGAGGCCAGAGGACTTGACACATACGTGTTGCATAAGGCAATGGGATTTAACTAATAAGCAGGAAATACATAAGGGCAGGAAGTTGGTTTGTGGGGAAATTTCCAGACTGGTTGCAGATGATACAGAAGAATGGCTTCCTTGCACTCTGGAATGCTCTGAGGCCAAATTGTTAATGTGAAATTCTTTCTAAACAGTCTGTCCCAGCCATCTTTGCTCCTCCCTTCTCCTGTCCCCCTCCCTCAAGGCACTTTGTGCTTTCATATTCCTCCTTCCCTTTCCTGCTCAAAGGTTTCTCCCAGTAAGGATATAAAATACATCCATAGTAAGTAGGTAATCAGATGATTAACAGTTTAGAGGACGTGACAGCAAGGGTAGTTGCATTTTAGCCACAGTTAACAACTTAGACTACAACAGGGACATTTTTAGCATGATATGGGGTAAAGAAGGGGTTTTTTGGCCAGGCTCTTCTCAGTCTTAAAAATCACCCATCCTATGTAGCTGCTTATTCGATCCACAGAGGAGGAGCTCACTAATTCCAAATCAAATACTTACATGAAATTACAACTGTTGGCCTATTATTGATGCTTCTACAGATTAGAAGATACCAGAACATGGAGGAGCAGAAGGAAGATGAATGAAAGGGAAAGTACCTGATGCTGACTGACTTAGGATTTTTCAAGCACAAACTAGATCAATTAATGTGCTTATCAGATTCCAACCAATTAAAATAAAATTGAAGACTCTTTTTAGTTCTTTTGTCTGCCATTCTCCTGAAGGGAGTAGCATCTCATGTTCTTATATACCTGCTTCACTTTCTAATATTATAAATAGCCTTTTTGGAACACTTACTATTTGCCAAGAGATGTCCTAAGCATTTACCATTAAAAAAATTATAAACAAATAAAAATAAAATGGTTAAGAAAAAAAGAAACATTACATATGCAGGTTTTTGTTTATGGTTATAAGCTTAAGAGAAGGTGAACTTGGCTTTAATTTAATGACTACCAAGAATATAAGTACTGGAGAGTACTCAAGCTATAACCAAGTGAGTTATATGCACAAGATATGTGTGTGTTCACCCAGCACATAAATTGATTAACTATAGTTGAGTCAGCATAGCCCTATTCTCTGTTTCTGTTAAGACATTTTATTATGAAAATTTTCAATTATACATAGAGGAAGAGATAAAGCTGAACTCACATTGCTAAACTTGAACAAGTACCACCTCAGAGCCCATCTTATTTCATCTCTACGCATTTGACTAATCAATCCCCCACTCTCACTGGGTTTTTCTAAAGCAGTTCCCAGATATACAATTTCATGTTTCAATATTAATCGTTAAAAGACAAGAACTTTAAAAAAATACATAACCACAAGACCACTACCGCACTAGAACAAAATAAGAAAAATGACATAACATGACCAAATATGAAGTCAATGTTAAAATTTCTCTGATAGCTTCAGTGCTTTTCTATAGGCAGTTTATTTGAATCACAACTCAAACAAGCCGTGCAGTGCATTTGGCTCATGTCTCTATTTATAGGCCTCTCTCTCCATTTTCTGTTGCAGAAACTGGATTGTTTGTTCTGAGGAATTTTCCATAATTTTGAATTTCGCTGATTACAACCTTTAGGCATTAACAAAACAAAACATGTTCTATCCTCTGTTTCCTGTAAATTAATTAGATCCCAAGGCTTGATAACATTTAAGTTATATATACATATGTATAGTTCAAAGTAGGTCATCAGTGACTGTATACTTCCTGTTGAATTACATTGGAAACCCGTATATCTGGTCATCTCTATTTTTGACTCAGAAAATTGCTTTGCGGGTTCAGATGGTGTCAGGCTGATCCATGTAACACAAAGTTGCCCATCAGCCTTTCCATTAAAAGCTTTAATAGCAATTGGTGATTATTGCTCAGATCTATTATTTTTTAGGGATTGTAAAATGGTTACATTCAATTTGCATCATTCTGTCTGTATTTATTGAGCAGAATTATTTGAAGAACAACTTTGTATATTAGATATTTGATGATCCTGAGATGCATTCATGCAAGAATGGCCCAGTCCTTGTGTGTGTGTGGTGGGGTATGGGGGTGGGGGTAGGAGTTATGAATGTTTCCACATTGCATGGAAATTTCCAGGCCAAGATTATATTTGTATTAACTGTATCTTGCCACCTAGGGCTAGAAAAATTCAGGACCATATGTAGACCTTAGTTAGAGGTAAAATTTATTACTGTTCTTAAAGGCATTGCACACGTCTAAGTGATCTAATTTTTATTTGATTAAAAATACTATTTATTAAATCTAGACTACAATATCTGTTTCTTTTATTCTTTTAGGTCAATCTGGAGCTCTGTATCTGAAAACAAAGGATTTGGTTAGTAATTCACAAGTTTACTCATGCAGATGATACATTCTGTTTCCCTAGAAGTTTTCTTCTTCTACTACTGACATAAAACAACAATAAGTGATTAATGAAAGTCAAATTGAATTGTCTGAATTCTGTAGAATAAATTTTTTTAAAATGTAGTTCCATTCTAACTTTAAATGGCTAAGGCAAAGAAATCATTGGTTTATTCAGAATAATTTCCTTTTATATTAAAAAAAATTCTCTTTGGTGGTTTCTTAGTTGATTATCTTCCAGCTTCCCAACTTCAGCTTGGCTGATCATGGTCAAGGTGACCTCCTAGACATTGTTCCAGATCTACGAATATTGGAGTGACTAAGAAAGAAATAGAAAATAGTTGGATTGCAAAAGACTTTTCCACAGCATTTCAAACACCAGGCTTCTTCAATTTATTTGATTATAGTATCCATAGCAGTAGTAAAGGCAATTGGCTTGATTTGTATTTTAATTCTGAAGTAAACATCTAATTCTATTAAGTACTTTCAGAAAGCTAATGGATAATGCCTCTCCTTCCCTTATAGAACGCAGTGTATCTAAAAACATTCATAGTGGCAAAACATCTAAATTATTCAGTCATTTTTTATGTAATTTGTCAAATTTGGGGATACCCTTTCTTCTTTCTTTCTTCCTAGTATAGTCTAGGAATCAGATGCTCAAAGTCCTTTCCCTTTCCCTTCAAAACCAGTTTCCTGGATAGAATCTGAAAAGCTTCATTCAGACCAAGGTGATGATTATCATCTTCTAAGGGTGTCTGCACTCAAGTGGGTCTAATATTCTTACAGTGGCAGCATCTATAGGGGCTGGGTCCCATCTCATTAGTCAAGGCCCTGTGGGCAACTAGTTGTTAAATAATTGAGTATCAGCCCTGATTTGAAAAGTGTATAGTCTTAAAAAAAAAGAAAGGAAAATTTTTATTTTTCATCTAGATCCATTCTCATATTTGTACATACATAGAAAAAGAAAGGCAAATTTTTATTTTTCATCTAGATCCATTCTCATATTTGTACATACATAGAAACAGGTATTTCTATCCTGCTATAATTCTTGATGATCAGCTGCCATCTCTGTAGTCAAATATGAGAGTAAATGGTTATTTTAAAAACAGTACAGTATGCTGAATTTGTTCCATGCTATGCTTTGGCTGCATTATTTAAAATTTACTTTATTAATGCTATGATACCACATGTGAAATGATTAGTCTTTGGTAAGTAGATTAGAAGGGATTCTAATTCTTCGTTTTGGTACAGTTCAGTTCTTCATGTCATGTCCAGGCCCTGCTCTAGGTATTAGGAGGACAAGGCTGAGCAAATCATGGTTCTTCTACTCAAGGACCTTAGATTTTCTCAAAAGTATCACAGCTCAGTGTTCTCTCTACTCACTTCATCATTTTGTTAAAAATGATGAGGAATGTGACAGGTGGGGATACTTTAACTTGTACATAAAAATGAATTTTTATTAAATCAAGAAAAACACTTTAAATTACAATGTAATCAGAAGCTATCAAGGGTATTTAAGTAGGATCATTCTACCATATATGTGTGGGTGCTTCTGTAGTTTATGGAGATAAATGGGAGCCCACAGGACACCTGGGAGTGTCGATCAGGGACTAACTAGAACTCCCCAGAATGGACCACAGAGCTCTTTTATCATGTCACCAAGTTACAGCCCTGTGCTGACCTTATTTTGATTTCAAATTTCTTATAATTACTGGACAAATGATACTCTGAATTTGTGGGGAAGTTGGGGTTCCTATGGCCACGATCCTCACTGAACTTAAACCACCTGTTGATGTAATTGGCCTGTTGCTGGGCTGCCGCTTTCCCACCTTTAGGCAATAAGCTATTATTGTGCTACATAGAGAGCTCGGCCCAGTGCTCTGGGTGGAGGCAGAGACGCTAGTGCTCCACCTACCGCCGGAGAACAAGTCGGGTAATAAGCCCTTTAACCCAAAGAACGTTTTGCTGTCAATTTCTTTGGTTGCACTGAATCCATAGCGAACTTGCCTGGGGCTGAAACCCATTGGCAAGCCAGAATTCTGCTAACCAATCCTCTGCTTTACTTTAGAAAGGAAAACAGTGAATGACACAATTTGGTGG